CTTCCGCGTTCAAGTATAATAACGCCGCCGGACGAGGGAAAAAAAGTTTCTTTTTACGTTGTATTATATTTATCAATTCTCAACGTCCATTTCTTCGAGACCAGAAAACCGTCTATGTCTACTGAACATATCGTTAACAGCTGTGGGGTTTGTACGTTTCATTTTTTTTTCACATTATAATAATATTTTCCGGTGGCGGAAGTTGTTATGATATTATTACAACTACAACATGACTTCTGTTGATTTTATATATTTATCTATAGAACTTATAGTAATGCCATTAGGTTAGGTTACGAATGGAATGGTGAGAGAGGATTTTGATAATTCCTGAATAACTGATAAGAAATTATTGATAACAATTAAACTATATCGCTCACCAGTGATAAGATATTATGCAAAACGCCGGCAATTCAAGACGGTATTCTTTTATTAAATTCCATACGGTAGATTCTGGCGCGAAACTAAACGAGTCTTACCGGTTACCGGGTATTAAATTATGTACCTATACGGTTACCACTCTGGGTACTGTATAAAACCGCTACAGTACCGTGTAGAAATCTGGTTTCAAATGAGAAATATTTGTAGGACGAGTACCCGTTAAGAAGTCTCAAAAAAAGCGTTCTATAATAACTTCTCAAGACTATAATTTCATTGTACCAAACGATAGAAACGATACTCCAATTCTGTTTATCGAAGCGTGAATCTTTAGATTAAAGGCAACTCGTATGCCCTTTATTCGGTACATCAAATCTTATATATTAGGTATATTAAAATCTAGCTATATGTCATTAAAACAAAATCGAATGCGAAATCGAAATTAGTTTATCGCAAATCTATATGAAACTGCGAACCGTAACAAGTCTGTTGACACGTAAATTTGTATTTAAGTTCCTACCTATGTTAATTAAATATTATAATTTAAATATACTTTGCAACCTCCAAAATTCGGTCCAACTTACGCCGCTGTATGTTATAGTTATTTATTGGCTTTGTGGCGTTAAACTATTGTACCCGTTAAGAAGTCTCAAACATGATTAAGACTATTATGCTATAGTTATTTATTGGCTTTTTCACGCCAAACTATTATAACCCGTTTAGAAGTCTCGAAAAAAATGAAAAAATAAATGTAAAAAAATGCAAAAAAAAAAAATTCTCCTTCGGTTCTGTATCGCGCAACGTAGGCACTCTGATGGCTTCACTCGTCCGACCGAATGACCGAAGGTTATTTGAAATTTGTTGATTTTATGTTATTTAAACACATTATTGTATATTACTAACACGTATTTGTTTATTTAAAATATTTTGTTTGTAACCATGGTAACCACGGCCATCTATGGTTGAAGGGTTGGAATTTTCGAAAAGTACTGTGCCAGTTTAGAGACAGACAATCATAGCTGATTATAAGACATAATGACGATCGACAATGTTTTTGCTCCAAGGGAAAGATTGAATATGTTCCTATTGCATAATGCATATTTTAGAGACAAATTTTTTTCGATTATTCAACAATTTACGTTTAATGTAGAAAACTTCTCGCTAATCTGACTGATACTCGATTTGTGACATAAATTATTTGCACATTATACTCTTTCCAGTAACGGTCGTAAATGCCTAGCTATTGATATTCCAATGTAAAACCTCAATCTACCTCAGTTGGTTTAGTTTAATGGAAAATTTAGTTCTCTATGGTTTAGCTAAATTAACCGTTAAAAAATTAGTTTCCAAAATTAGTTTAATAACCTTTAATTAATTTAACTGCTCGATTTAGTGATACGATCAAGTCATGATCGATTCGTACGACTCATTCGTTGATAGCTTTTGGCAACTGTCTGTATGGTAAGACTGAATTAAATGTGCTATCTGTTAAAATTACCCTATTTTGGGCCAATGTGGGAAAACGAGAAAGGGTAGTTTAGTGAACAGGCAGTGGTGCAATTTATTACATTATACCTTATAACGGCTCGATGGATTGTGCTTAAATATTTAAACAGTCATTGAAGTAATAATTATTATTCGGGGCTCGTGTAACCTTAACAAACCAAGTGTATAATATTTAGGTTTCTGTACTAGATTTCTGTCCTGTTTGGATGTTTTATTACATGATAATTGTAATACCACAAAGGTTATAAATAATACACAATGTGCAACTTTAAATGAAGATTACAATAGATGTACACTATTTAATAAAAAAACAATTTCAACGCATGAAAAACGTAAACAACCGGTGGCTACCATGTGAATGGCGTCTGAAGAGAACTGTACCGGTTATCAATGTGAATATACATAACATAAAGGGAATAATGGTATTGTATAATTTGCAAAAACGTTATGCTATGGACAGGAGAGCAATAACGGGCAGCATTTATTGTACATTTTATAATTGTATTGTGTTGCGAGTGTCTATGTATTATACATAGACACGGGTACAGATAATACACATGGGCGCATTGTGTTTGTATAATAAATTACAATATTATCTGAGCTGTGTAATTATTTTATCAAACTGATATACTGTATCAAAAAAATATATACTCTTTCTAACCTTATTGTTTAAAACATACATGCGACATTTTTACTAAGGTTATGTTTCATACTGTAAAAACTACTTTTGTTGATGACATAAATATTATAATTGAACCGAGCTAAAATATTTAATTCGCATCTTCAATAACAAGGACAATTTTGTTTGTTTAGCAAACTGAATATAATTAATTACACAATTAAGTTAATAAAATACTCTCCATTAATGAGTTTTACGTTTTTAAGATTATCGAAATTAATTAGCATAAAGATTAAACACCGCTCGCCCATCGATTATTTTAATCAAATAAAAATAGTAGTAGCTATGGTTTGCTTGTTAAAGCTTTTACAACTCCTCGACAGGGCTCTAAAAGTTGTCAGAAAGTAAATTTTAAAAAAGTAATGCCAACTAGGCGAAAATGACGAACCGTTAAAAAATGTCTGACGCAGAGAACAATATAATCTGATCAATAAATTGTATAATTTAGCTGAAATATTTACATTAAAAAAAAAAAAAATTATAAACACTACTTTAACATGAAAAAACGTTAACGAAAAGCCGTTAAAGGAAATTATATTCACCTAACTTAATTTTGAAGCCCTTACAAGTGTTCCAACTTGCTTATAATGTTTATTTTACAATAATTATCAATAAGAAATTGTGGATCCGAGTTATGGCGAAAGTTTAATAAAAAAATAAAAGTTATTAAAGGCACTTTTTGGCATGTCTACCGAACAGATATAACTGTTTTTTTTACATTTTTTATAGTACACTTACAATTTTCTCTGTGGGGGCTGAATGGTCGATTTTTACTTTACATCTTGTGGCTCTTCAACTGTTATCAAACATTCTTATCTCTTATTATGGCTTTGTGTTTTCCGAATAAATGTTTAGTTAGAATTAGGAACGGTTGAGCGCCACGAAACACAATATATGGTTCATGAGTATTTCTAATTGGACAAGAGGAGTTTTTTTTTCCTCTTATACATCAGCACAGTCTGTAAATAAAACAAAATACCTATAGAGTACTGTAGTCGGCCGCCACTGGACTAAACTTTAATGATAATACTTCATCCAAAGCATTTTCCCCGTTTCGAAAACACATCAACAAGCTGTGCGAATATTTTGTACATTTTAACATGAACACCTTAAATCTTGGCCTTCTTGCTTCAAGCCACAGATTTTTATTATTAACTATAAGTAGGTAACCATATATATTTTTTTTTCCGCATACTATGCTAGAAATTAACCCACTGCAAGTATGAACCGTCTTTCTCTTATCTTCGTATAATATTATATATACTGACTAGTATATATAATTTGTTGAAGGATATTCAACATTATTTAAAATTTTAGTTGATTTTCGGTTGCTTTCCAAGTAATTGACATTTTAAATAAACTGTACTACAATTGATTGGTAAATTGTTCTTGTAGTGAAATTGTTATTTTTTAAGTGTTCACTTTTTTACTATTTTTTAGAAATGTTTTAAAAAAAAGTTATATAGGCAGTGTTTCTGTGCCGCCTAAGTCGACGTAAAAATGCTTATTAATTTATTCATTATTTCAGGTATAATATTATGTCGGGACGTGACTATTGGAGTGGAGTGAAAATTTTTTATGTCGATTTATAATATAGTATTCCTAGAACAAGTCGCATCAAGCACCTTTGATAATATTTTTAAAATATTTAAATCATTTTATAAGACGTGTCCCATGTGAATTGTTTATTTAATATAGAAAAAATATAAATTACTAAATAAGAAAAAATTTAACACACAGCTCCGGGATCCTCAAAACTCAAAAGATTATAGTTATCGTGCTTTATATATTTCATGTTTCAAAGCAATGTTTTACTACTACTCAATTAAAGAAATAAACAAATCACCTATATCATTTTTTGTTCCACCGCAGTAAATCCTATCTAATTAAAAAACGTAAACTGTCTTCCGACGGCCACCGCATACAAAAAGTAGATTACCAGGTTCAAATGTGCCCAATAGTTTGCCACCGAGCACGTCTCTGCCATCAGTGGTAAAGTAATTTTAGAATCCAAATTTGCAATATACATAATATATTGAATAATAATAATATTTAATGAACATATAATACATGTATTATTATTATTTTGTTCTAAAATTCAATTGAAAATATTTCATCGTCTCCTCGTCACTCATTGTCTGGAGTACTGCCGTCTGCTTCACCGCGACACATCTTCCCCGACAGACTGTCCAAGATACGGTTAGATGGGACGGTGGGCCAGCATTTCGCGCTACTGGCTTGCACCGTCACCGTCGTTCCCGAGTTGTCCCTTCGTTTCCATCGTCTGGATTACTACTTCACGTCTTCCTCAACAGGCCGGCCGGACAAGTTCGGGATGCGATTGGACGGAGACAGTGGCTGCAGCATCTCGCGCTACTACAGCACACGTGTCCGCCAACGGCTTCGCCGACTTGCCGGCCACAGTTTATCGGCTGGAGTACTATTGAAAGTTGTCCGACTCGCTTTCTTCGCTTTCTGACTGGTACGACGTTGGCCGTCTCCGCTTTGTTGACCTGGGTTGCTCATCATCAGAGTCTAAACGCGGTCTCTTCAGACCTGATGATGAGCACGGCTGCGGGTCGTCCGAGTCTGACTCAACTGGTCGGCGTTCGTTGACAGGCGGGTGAATGGCGCTAAAAGTATTACAGTATGTATTCCAGTTGTTTTCTAATACTATTTCTCGGATTAGGTTATCTAAGTCGTCATCAATGATAACAAAATATGATCACCCGGCCGGAAGGAAATAAATAATTTTTTTGATGTACACATTAATTTACAATGATAAGCTATATGGTGCACAAAATATGAAAAATGTAATACCAAGCGGTCGCACTTACTTGAAATATGCAAGCCTTGCATCGAAGCTGTATGTGGGCATGAAGTTCCGGGAATATTCGTCGTCGTCGTGGATTTTGTCGGTTTCGTCTGTCTCAATTGACTCGTCATCGTTGTCCTCTGTCTCTCTGTCGTCGGTTTCATCTGTCTCAATTGACTTGTCATCGTTGTCTTCTGTCTCTCTGTCGTCGGTTTCGTCTGTCTCAATTGACTTGTCATCGTTGTCCTCTGTCTCTGTGTCATCGTTGTCCTCTGTCTCTTTGTCATCGCTGTCTTCTGTCTCTGTGTCATCGTTGTCCTCTGTCTCTCTATCGTCGGCTTCGTCTGTCTCAATTGACATGTCATCGTTGTCTTCTGTCTCTCTGTCGTCGGTTTCGTCTGTCTCAATTGACTCGTCATCGTTGTCCTCTGTCTCTGTGTCATCGCTGTCCTCTGTCTCTCTGTCGTCGCTGTCCTCTGTCTTTCTGTCATGGTTGTTGACAAGTGGTGGAACAGCACTATTAAAGTATGTACTCCATTGTCTAATGACTTCCAATACTATTTCAGGTATATAGTTATTTAACTCGTCGGTGTTTATGTCAATCTCTTCGTCCGTGTCTCTATCTCTTGTGTCTATGTCGCTAAAACGAATTATACATAAAAAAACAATTGTATTATTAACACTAGCTGTTGTTAAACTCGACTAGCCAGCTACTATTTTGTCAAGCTTTAGTACTTGTATATAAGGCGTTCTGGAAATAACTCTTCTTCGTCGTCCGTCAAGAAGTCTTCGTTTATGTCTGTTATATGATCAAATAAGAATTTGGGTGGATCTCTTTCTAACGGTGCCATTTTAGCTAAAAAGTGACAATATTTTCTAACTTAGTCCTATGATAATATAATTCAAATACTGTGTTTAAAAAATAAGCTCCGAACGCATGTCGCGTGACTTTGATTTGAGACAACTCTAAGAATATTATATGTACATATTGAAAAACATACTTTATCTTTTAAAAAAAATGTACAAGTTTTAAAAGTGAAAATAATTAGTCATTTAGTTTATTAAATTGCTTTTGGTAAGATAAAATTATCAGCTTTTCTTTTTCAAAATTCCTTCAGTAATAAATATTATTAAAACGTCGGATCAAGAAAGCTACAATATACAGCCGACGCATGTTGTTAAATTAATTTTTTTTACTAACTAAAAATGCATTTTTTTCTAAAACAGTTTTTTAGTATCTATACTAACAACAGAACACTTAAATTTCTATGACTGTTAGAGTTTTATTAAATAAGTACATCCTAAAAATCTAAACCTAGTCGTACGAACACATATCATAAAAATGTGTATCATAGAAATAATTATTAAATATAAAAACGTAACGAGAAGAGAAAAAAAAGTATGTGGACACTATTGTACTAATTGAGAATAGTATTTTATCTTTAGTTTATAACATCATCTTAAAATAAGAACTTACCTGTAATCGGTCACCGTTGTACAAAATATCAAAAGAATGAAACTTAATAAATATATAAAAAAAACAATGAAATAAACAAAAAAACAATTAACACAAAATACAAAAGTGTTACAAGTAAATACAGAATGTAAATATACAAAAATAATAAAAAATGTAGAAAAAACTGAAAATAATTATGCAATAAAAGTGTAAATAACAAGAATAAGTAAGTATAAGTTTGATATGATAATCGAAATAAGCTTTTTGATTTAACAGAGGTTGGTTAGAATAATTCAAAGTGTTTATCCGGGCTGTCAAGATCAAAATGCGAAGAAAACCGTGTTGTTTACAAGGTACAAGACAAAAATTGCCTTGACGACCAAACGGTGAAATTATTATTAAAAATTTTAATGTTATTTTATCTAAAAAGTGACAATATTTTACTTAGTCCTAAGATATAATTAAAACACTGTGTGACTTTGATTTGAAATAACTTTAAGAATATACAAACATAGGTATTCGAAAACATATTTTACCTTTTGAAAAAAATGAACAAGTCTAGATTTTTTTTAGTACTACCAACAGTACACTTAAGGTTCTGTGACTATTTATAAACTGTCCTTTAACAATAAAGAAATACTAGCGAGAACCATTGTAAAACCCAACAATATAAGTCTTTTACTGTTTTTTTTAAAGTTAAATTAAATAAGTACGTCCTAAAAAACTTACCCTAATCGCACGAACACAAACAATCATATAAATGTGTATAGTAATAATAATTAGTGAACGTGACGAGATGTGGAAAAAAGTATATAGACACTAATATTAATTGAGAATAGTATTATACCATTAGTTTAGAATAACATCTTATATATTAAAAGTTATCTAAGATCGGGAAATGTATCGTCAAAAAAAGAAAGAAAATTAACAAATTAACACAAAAACAATTACTTACTTACCTGAATACTAATTCGGAACGCTATAGTTTTGTTGAAGACAATATCCAATATTGTTAAGTTTCAATTAATAATTTATTGTTCCAAATAACACAAAATAATTACTATGGAAAAAACACAATTTTATAAAAAGTAATTTGTAGCTTTTTTTATTAATTGTAACTTGTTTATTAGGATTTTTAAAAAAAAACATTTGTAACTTTATTTGTACTTATGTTTGATTAGATAAGTATAATTAATTATTTCTAAATGCACGACTTTTTTTTGATAATTTAAAATATATTGTAACTATTTTGTACTTATTTTATTTCATTTTTATTTTAATAATACAATATAGACCAAGGCCCAGTGACATATAAATTTATGTAACTACTATTATAACTACTTTTGTTTTATAAATAAGAAAGTTATGTTGTCTGATCTTTTAAAATTGTTTTGTAAAGCTAAATAATTTAAATGCATGTATGTAGATGAATTTACTGTGGTTTTGAAGTTATAAATGTAACTTTTCTCTATTTATAAGTAAAAACTAATGGCCCATTGGTTAAGAAATTGGACATAATTGACAATGGGAAGTAAAACAAAGTATACTTTACCATTATATGTAGGAAGAAAATTTTTTATTCAAAAAAATTGTAAAACAATTATTCAAATAGTTTTCAAAATAATAATTCGAATGATTTTTCTACTTAAATAAATTGTACACAAATTATTCATAAAACGTTTTATTCGAATAAGAATCAGCAAAACTCTGATGTATATCCTCTTTTTTCCCTTGTCAGTTTATTCATTCATTTTATAAGTCATAACACGGTCGTTTTCCGTACTGGTGTACAAAAACAACGCCGCGCCGTTCCTTATACCGACCTTAGAACATTCCGGCGTTGCAGTTTGCCTATACAAAACGCCGTAAATTCAATAATTCCACCAAAACACACATATACCATAAACAACATCATTACAGTCATAGTAAACGAATAGATTGTTGAAAATTCAAACACTACAATGTATTAAAATTGTTCGTCTACATATATTTTATGAAATTAAAACTTTTATGTTCGTATAAGGAATGAAGGCTACAATTTCAAAGTATTGAAAAATATTGATAAAAATTGATAACAAAACGAGCCGCTAAAATTAATTAAACTAATCTATTACAGTTAAATTTCTTTTTTTTGTGTTTAAAATAACGACCATATTAATAACTTATGTATGCCTATATTATTAATGATGATTTTAAATTGATTAGTGGTTTAAATTTGACAACAGAAAAATAAAAGTTGTCACAGTGTCAAACAAAGTTTTTCAGTAGCGGGATATTGTTTTAGTCAATAATAATAATAGTAAAATATTAAAATTAAAATATTAGAAACTTCGAATTTGGTCTCATAAAAAGTTAGGTAGAAAAAGGCAAGTAAAAAAAAAACCAGTACAGTGGGGTCGTGGCATAAGTGATTTTATCCGAGAGGACTAGTACAGTAGAGTATAGGCTTAATGGAATCAAAACAATGAGGAAACGGAGAGGTCACAGGTCTACAGGAACTATTATAAATAAAAGTGATAAAATTGAATAAAATCACTTTCAAATAAACGCTTTGATGCTTATTGGTAAATACAGAACCTCAGTTTAAAACTTTCTAACTTAACTGATTTATACTGTGTTTGGTTTGGATTGTACTGGCTAGAAAATACTAACTACCGATTTGCATCGAAGCGTTTTTTCGAAATTGATTTTATCACTTTCAGATTTAAAAATTCCTGTAACCGTGACCTCCCCGTCACCACTATGCCCCGACCTAACTATGCTCCGTCCCCACTATGCCCCGACCCCACTGTACTGGTTTTTTTTGCAAAAACGTAGTGGACCAAATAACACGTCATATACAATGTCTTGTTAAATTTTGTTGGAATGGTCGACGATTCATGTTTCAATTGTTTGTACTCCATAGTTTAAATAATAATTGTTTATTCTCAATAAAATTAATATTTATGTATTATATACTTCCATTAAAGCAATCTCACACAAACTATTTATACTTCACAGATTATATTATTTCAAAGTTATATTATACTTCTATTTTACTAGATGGACAATGTACAAAATAAAATGCAACTAAAAAAAACCTTTTCATACATCCTTAAAATTAAATCGTATACTGGTTCTGTGATGGACAAAACAAAAAATTTTACCTACATTTATTACTTATTAGTTACATACTACTAACGTGTATAGTCACTAGCGGTCGGCTGTTGCCTGTAATTTAACAATAACCTTTTACGGAGATTTTAAAAATTGTGTTTTTTTAATAATAGTATAGGAGCAGTATCATGATGTTAAATGTTCACGAGATTTGATCTAGTCATAAAATAAAGTACTATCATTCAACACTTTTAAATACTATTAAATCTATCTTAACTTGAACACAGTAATAAAATAATGAAATATTTTATACAAAATTAGAGCTACAAAATTATAAACTTAAAAATTAAAACTAGCACGAAGCAGATTACATATCTTATATAAGATAATTTAAACAATGAAGCGTGAATCTCTTTAAATGAATAACAGTATAACAATATGCAAAACATTAGTTTTCCTTTAAAAAAATTGTGTAATAAAAAATACATTTTGGGGCGGTATACTGCATAAAAACCAACACTTAATCTTAATCCAAAAAACAACAGTCCTCCTGACAGTTTTTAGTGTCTGTTCGTTTCTCATATCTGGTACACCGTGTTTTTTAGTTTAAAAAAAAAAAATTGAATTTGTTCAAACTTAAAGTCAAAAGTGGTACTTGAGCACAAAACTTAATAGTATCATTCTGCATAGATAAACATAAAATTCTTTTAAAGATTTGATAATTTTTTTTTAAAGATTTTAGGTGTTTTTGTTAAAATAAACGCAATTTACGATAACACAGTTTTCCGGCAATTAAAAAAAAACTGCAGTGCCGAATTTTTTTTCCGTTTATTATGTTATGGATACATATGAGTTCCAACTACTGCCAAATTTTCAACCCAAAGGTCTTAAAATTACGGCAAAAACCCCCGAAAAACAAAAAAATTGTACCCCCCCTAGGGTGGTGGGAAATGGGTATAGTTTAAATTTGATACAACTGCCGTATGCGAGCATACCAAATAAATATGTCTTATAAGTTTCAACTTGATCCGACTGGGTTTTATTGGCATAATTTATGGATTTTTTTGGTTGAAAAAATATGTAGAAAAAATATCTTAGGTTAGGTACGATTATTTAAAATAGCTAATTACAATGTTTGTCTGTCATAGTAATATGCGGTTTAGCAACATAAAATTTAAAATCGGCTGGATGATAAATAAACAATAATCATTTCTTATAACATCGACTTGAATAGTAGTTTTTCTCTTGATATAAATAAATCAATTACTACAACACGGTATAATCTACACGGGTTGAAATAAGCTTTTTAGAATCTCAACCTACAATTTTTCATAGACTATCAACATAAATATAACATGATTTAATTTTTATCATTTTAATTTAGATAGTTTGAAATTAAATAAAATTAATAATTTTGTGGGCAAAGGTTTTGTTTGCGAACCAACTAAACGGCTGTTGCTATAGGCAATGTAGTGCATATCGGTTCAGAAGACCAGTGTACTAACTGGTTAAAATCAGGCGTTTGAAACTGCGATACCATAAACGAGAATTAATACATGTTATGGGCTTAGGCTATTTTTGCATGAAGCCATTCATTAAGTTTAATGTAGAAATTGAACCCATTTCAGCTGGGTTTTCAAACCACTGACGGCCTAGCAGATGAACGCGCACAGCGCAAACGAGTGTCCGAAAAACCGCCCGTACACTTGCGACATGGTCAACACCGTCGTTTTGGTGAACACTTGGCCGTGCGCGAGCGACTCCTCGGGACGTCGCGTCGTTGTCCCGGTCACAGTACAGCTTGATTCCCGTCTAGGACAGGCGCGAAATGATGACGCCGATCCGGTGCCAAAACGGCGAGCCCTTGCGCAATAAAAACGTGGGCGATTATGACTCGACGACGTCCGTGGACGACAGCACGTGCAACCGCCTGGTGTTGTTGGACTCGTGCTTGTACCGTTTGCGCGGAACAAGAGCTCGCGCCTGAACGAAGTGGCCGGAGGTGTTCGGCCGGCACAATTTGGTACCGCCCGACTAGCGCCAGAAATCGTTGCCTGAGCCTGCCGACAAGTTGATCAGGTAGTACGTCTGTTGGCGGCCTGTCAGGCTAAGGTCGGTTTTCAGTTGTGATTGTTAGTCCTCGATTTCAGGCTAGGCTTGCAGAATGGTGATCAGGCTGCCCTGGTAAGACAGTTGGATAGAAACACCAGCAGCGGTCGTCTTTAGTGATCCTTTTCTTAATAAATAATATATTTACACATTTTATGCATAGGACCCTAGTACATTTTCTTAATAATATACTATTCTAGTGCGGTGTGTTTGTCCTTTTTATATTATATTATTCTAAAAAAATTTACAAGCAGTGACTGTTGGTTGTCGATTATGGGTTCGGCCTGCGTGATGGTGATCAGGCTGCCCAGGTACGCCTGTTGGATTGGAACACCTGCTGCGGTTTCCGCAGCCGATCAACGTGCCGAACGCAGAGAAAAACACTGACTGCCGGTCGCAGAACACGGACGGTTGGTCGTAGAACAGGAACGTCGATGGCGCTGGTCCAGACCCCAAGTGAAGCATTCCATTTGGGCTTTCTTGTTGAAGTCCACTTCGGAATCGCCGTCGAACATCTGGATGAATTGCCTGAATGCCAAGTCGGCCTTGCGGGACTTTAACCTGTTTGGCGATCATGGATATCATCGTCAAACAGCAGTGTTTCGGTGGCCATGCTCACCGCTCAGTCCCACGCGGCCATTCACAACAGACGCCGGAAACTGGTGCAGTTCATTTACTGCTGGAGGAACAGACTACGCGCAACCCGGATCTGGTCAATGCCCATCCGGTCGGCGTCTGCATCACCATAGACACCGGCAGCCTATGGACGCCCAAACACTTAACGGAAATCTCTAAATTCAATTTTATGTACAAAATAATTACACTGTGCACATTAAGGCTGGTCCATCATTTTTAACTTGACTCTATTTTTATAATAATTACTATTACAAGTATTTTAATTTGAGTGAAAACATTTCCAACTGAGAAGTCTTCTTAATAAGTTTAAAGTATTGTACAGTGTTTTTCCAAACAATGTTCCTTTTGCTGGGACTTGACAACATTATTGTGTATAGATTTTTGACATTAATTAAATTTATAATTGCAAAAATTAAATTAAATTTACAAATAAATAATTTTTTTTTTGTTAGTTATTATTTTGTAAAGACCTAAATACAGCATAATATGGGCATGACCAATGAAAAATTTTCAATATATTATTATAAGGCTTATGAAGAGTTTTAAAATATTTAAAACATTTTTTTTAAAGACATTTGAATTTTTTTGTATATTTTTTATTTAAAATTTATTCAAATAACAAATAGTTTTCCTTGATTTACTGATTTTATATATTTTATAAATTTTATAGGTATGTATTGTATTTATAAAAAGTAATGCTCTAAAAATAATTGAATAAAAAAATCTTACAAACATCTTATAATATGTAGTTGTAAATTATTTGAATTTAATCACACAATGAAATAACATGATAGAAAAGAGAGAGAAAAAAACTCCGGTCAATGAGCATCCTACAGTACTGCGTTACGCACTTGTTCATGCTTTTAATTTACAATTATAATACTTAAGTACAATGTATCAATTATACTCAACAAAAACGATTTTAATTTGTTTTGTTACGGTCTAAATGTTTTTTTTCTAACTTTGTAATCTATTTGAATATATATAGCATTTATATATAATATACCTATTATATTATAATTTTTACATTGTACTAATAATAAAATTATTAAATAAAAAAACTTTACACTTAACCCATGTCGCGTTAGGTGATGACAATATTACAAAATTGTATTGAAACAGATTTTAGCCCGTCTTATGACAATTGTTCGTGCATTTTTTATTACAGAAGTACCGCCAAAATTGGTTTTAGCGTGTTTTTCTAGTATATTACTTTACATTGTCATTTTTTCACAAGCTGTCACAAATTAATCACATCTGTCACATCAATGTTGTTGTTTCCGTCAAGGTAATATACAGATTATAAATTGTGGGTACTGCGTGGATAGAAATTTGTCGCGTGTGGTGAGGCATTGTCCGATGTGGTCACTTAACATACACCCCTAGTACTGTTGGACGTAGCACATAAAAAATTTCACTGATTTGCAGAATTGGCAGCAAAACCTTCTCGTCGCACGTTCATAGACAAAAATTTAATAATAAGGGTGCCATTTTATTCAGGGACTAAGGGTGCCAATTATCTTAATCCAGCATTTTTGGTAATTTGACATGGCTGCAAAGGCATCTTTCGGGAAACCATTGAGATTGTCATGGCACCTACTTATAGGGAAACTCACCTGTGCAAGTTCATTGTTGAGCCCGAACACCGGGTTTTCATTAATGAATACGTTGAACCCGGCGTGCCACAAGTGGATCATGATCGGCGGACCGGCTTGGTCACACCTGGACTACGAGTATGGATTGAACGCGTAGGTACACCTGTACGCTACCTTTTTGCGACGGCCATGTCCATGAGCAGATACTACTAGAAACTCTCGAATATCACTTGTATATGGTGCAGGTTCGTCCGGTCGTTGCACAGGATCGAGGAGTGGTCGCTGAGCGGCAGCTTGCTTAATACCGGTGCGTTGTCCACTGGCCTGCGCGTCCTACAAATACACTAGTTAGTTGGCCAGTGACAAGTTTTCGGGCGATATTAATAGCCTGGGGTGTGACACGACACCGTTGACTTGGTCAACGGCCGCATCGGTTTGATCTCGTCACCCTCCGCTTACCCATGCGATAACCGGTGGACGAACATCACCCCACCTGTGCGACCAGTGTCAAAGTCCGTCCACCCGGACGGATCGACCGACGGCTAACGCCGTTAGCCCGGCCTGTTCTGTTTTCGCCTCGCCCACGGAATCACGCTTCCGTCCCCCTTGTCCCACACCGTCCCATTTCCCAACAATATATATTTTATTTATTTATTTTTTATTCTCGTGTTCGTGGAGATCATTTAATAAATGGGCTTACGCCCAGTACCACGGACCAAATATTGTGTTAAATTATTTATTTATTTTTATTATTTCCCCATGTTTCTTTTTTTTTAATTTGACGTGCGATCCCTTAAACGGGTCCCTGTCAGGTGCACCAACCCTGTCAACAGTTGCTGGCCCAATATGCTGCGTACCGTCTTGTCGACGAACAGACTGAGATCCCACGTACATGTTGACGAGCTTGTTGGTGGACCGGGCGAATAACAACGAACGGTTACTTAAGACAGAAGTGACATTGACCTAGATGTTCTGCGATATATTTTGGGACGAACAGTGTCAGAGCTACAATCATGATTGTTGGTCAGTGTTAGGTTTGAATTGAAAACGGAAGGTAAATAAAAATATATATATATTTATATTCGAATAATTTAATTGCAATTTATTTGAATAAATGATGAAAAATAATCATACTATTCTAACTTAAGTTATTAGTTAAAGAATACATACATTTATATTATTATTTTACAACCTAACCCGTTAAAGATTATGTGAACTTTTAAGGAATCAATGCTACCAGATTTAGTTATACTTGATGTATACAATTTAATGAGCTCTTTTATTTGATATTGGCTTAGACCATTGCCCTAAAGTGTAAGCAAAAAGGTTAAAATATTTAAGTAAGCCGTATAAAAAATGTCAACGCATTTTATATTTTAAGCATTTGTATAATTATTAACGATTTATTAATTACAATTTAGTTAAAAAAAAATTTTTCAAATTCAATTTTTTATCCAGAAAAATTTATATGGTCAATTTTCAAAAATTACATATAGTAGGATCTTGTTTTTTTTTATTTTTTAAAATTCTGCTAAAGCCAAAATGGCTTTTACTCATAGAAAAAATTATTTAAACTAAAAATAAGACCTTGAATCATATACAAATTAACTGATAAATTAATTGACATGGTCGAAATATATTGAAATTTTTAATACTTAAATATTGGCTTTACAAAACTCCCTAATGCAGACCTCATGCAATGCCCTTAAGAAGTAATTATTTAAAACTAGTAATTTTTTTTTTAACTAAATAGTTTATCAAATATACTATGCGTTACCATTTAAATGTTTAAGGTCATAATGGCTTAATGTAAAAGTTATAGGACTAAATTACATAAGTCCCCTTGTTTAAGTATATAATTATATTTATTTTAGGAAATATTATTTTAGAGTAATTAGTATCTTACCCATACTGCTGTAAAGCAATACATCGCGCAGAGAATCACAACACTCTTAAATTGCATAATAGTTTTAAAAAAAATTGAAATCCAATGAAGTACGTGTAGAATAGAACGACTATTACCACTAAAGCCAAAATATCAAACTAACTGAAAAACAAATACATTTGTCAATGGCCATGGCTTTTACCGATTTATATATTGACTAGTTATAAACTTTGTGAGTGACGAAATTCCATACGCCTTATGTGTTTGATATTTGATTGCTTACACACGATGTACATTCACTGGAAACGTGCATGTTGAAACGACATACACAATGGTGAATTTTTTTATTGTATTTTATTTTTCTGGTTTTCGGTTATTGTAATATTTTTTTGAAACACAATCAGTAGCCAAAGCAGTATGTTGGTAGTAGATAATACATTTTAGGATATTGATCGCATCGTTTTAAACTTTATGTTAAAAAAAATTATGTATATCTATACTCTTCAAATGAAAAATAAGTTAAATAAAAAAAAATTAAAATGTTTTCCTTTTTCTCATACTTAATGCCTATTAGAATATCTATAAAAAGACGGGGAAAACAAGGGAATTGGAGTTTGGACACAACTTTCCCTTCCTGGATTATAGGCTACATTCCCTGTGTTATAATTCTCATTAGATACATATGGAACTCTAGTAAAATAGGGCTTTTGACTGTTAAAACTACTACAAGTAGACCTATTATTATTGTTACTGGCATAATTAAAGTTAATATTTCTGGTACCGTTATAGCGATTTTGGGTTGTCTTATAATTCCTATTGAATACATCTCTAACCTTATTATTATTTATTCCCTTAGGATATCTATTGTATTTATTATAATTAAAGTTACCCAAATTAATATTCTTATTAGTAATACTATTATTATTAGACCTACGAGCACTATGCATAGAGTTGTTAAAACTCGTACCGTGATTTATCCTAGTATCCTGATAATTATTTTGGTTTGTCCTATGAGTCTTATAGTTAAAGTTATATTTTCAACCTCGATAAATTGAAATAATTTTTTGGCTTGGTCTCTTAAATATAATGGAAACATAATTGTCTTTTTTTTTTGTCATCCCAGTTGTTTGCGGCAGAAATTTTCTCAAAAGTATAAAAGTAATCTACAACATCTTCAGTTATATGCCCCGAAAATATTTGGGGTTCGCATATGTTATGACCAGCCATAATGATTAATTTTCTTGTATTAAAAAATAATTACAATCGATTTTTATATTTGAATTTAGAATTTAAATGCAATTTGATACTTTATAAAAAAAGAATGTACTTTACTACAACCTGAGAGTTAAATCAAAAAAATAGCAGGTACAATTATATGGGGTCGTGTCCGTCGTCTATTCCCTTAAAAATGTTGGGTCCCTCCCTGAGGTAAGACTAACGAATATCGGCGCCTCCACCAAATTGTAACG